ATTTGTTTACTTTTTAATATGTTTGTTTTTGTGTTCAAAGTGCTTTAGAAAGTTTTTGATTTTTTTAAATTAAATTTTTTGTGATTTTTTAAAAATTAATTTTAAAAAATAAAAAATATATATCATTTTAATATATTTTTAAATAAAAAAATTTATTTTATTAAAATTAAAATTTAAAACACAACTAAATTAAATGAGGAATTACAAAACCAATCAAATTATAATATAAAATCAAATAAAAACTTTGTAGTGGATCATCAACAACGCAATCATCTTTAGAAAACAAAATTCTTTGTTTGATCGTAATTGGCCAGCTAATTTGTTGAAATTCAATTTTAAAGTATTAATTTTGCAATGAAATCCAAGATTATTGTAAATCAAAAGTTTATAAAACTGAATTATTTTGATGAAATAAATTTTATATGTTGAAAAGACATGATAATATTTATATTGACTACTTTAAAGATTTCCTACATCCTCAATTTAAATCTACTTAAAGTTTCTACATTTACATCTAAAGATAATGATAAATTAAAGATAGAGCATAAAAAACAAGATGAAAATGAATTGTTGTATAAAGGTTATATCTTTAATAATCTATCGGATTATTTATATGATCTTTTTACATTCATAAAACCTCCAAAGAAAATCTAAAAGTCACTAAAATACAAATATAATGTGAGAAAACAAGATATGAACAAATTTCTTATTATGAAATATTATGAATTTTCATTGATTGATAATGTTTTTATTATAAATCAAGTCTATGAGTTATTATTCCTTATTTCTAAACTTAAAGACTTGAAGGTGGAAGTTTTAAAGTATTACAAGTAAGCGTAATAATTACAAAATTTTCTTTTAGTTAAAATGATTATATGAAGAAATTATTACATACCATAGAAAAAACAAATTTCATGAGCATATTCAAAAACAATTACAAATTGATGAGTAAAGTAGAATTCATATGAAGGGATCTACCACTGAATCTGTAACTGATTAGTATTTAAAAATGCATTTTTAAAAGGGATCTACCACTGAATTTGTAACTGATTAGTATTTAAAAGTGCATTTTTATTAAGGTTTTATATCATTATTTTTATCAATAACTCCTTAACTAAAGCATGTTTTATAATAACATATCTAATAATATAAGATACCTTTAATTTATGGTAAAT